GAGAGAAATACTGGGTAAGTCAAAATGAGTATAATGAATATAGTGATTACAAATGGCTATAACTATTTATTGAAAACAAATTTATCATTAAGATTAATACATAATGTAGAGGTAACTTCAAAATTTTGTATACATATGTCATAAATGTTCTATGTAACTTCCCTTGGTCACACGGACATCTAGGTGATTTTCACGCCATACATTCTGAAGCATTTGTTCAGTCACCGACACAAGTGCATTACAAATGTGTACTTTGAGTTGTTCAGTTGTTTTGGGCATGGGAGGCACAAACATCCTGTCTTTCAAATAACCCCATAGAAAAGTCCGGAGATCTTGGTGGTAGATCTCTTATAGGTTCTTGTTTGTAATGCTGACAAAATCTTCTCTGCACTGTTATAAAAGAATGATATTTTTCAAATTCTAACACGCAAAATGCTTTCTGCATGGGACTCGCCATTTTTACTAATGAGGCGCCCGCAATGAACAGGTTTCTTGTTGTTGCAAAGTTTCAACTCACATGCGTAGGCTTCCACTTCATTGCACCTTCGCCTTATGTAAAGGAATTTTGTAGTTCTGTCTACATTCGATGTTATTCTTATCGATAAATTCTTTTCCATTAAATAGTTATAGCCGTTTGTACTCGCTATATTTATTTTGACTAATTGAATAAAAATTAGGTGATACATGTATTTTCTGCATCTGACAGCTAGGACAATTAATAGAACTGGGGAAAAGATATTCCTTCGCAGGTGATAAGACATGTAAACTATAATTTCGCTGTTCTTAATTTAATACCAAAATCTTAATCTTTTACTCTTTTCACATTTCGCTGGGCTGTTAAAATTTTTTCCACTGCCACAGTATGTTTTCAATACTATCACCAATTATAATTCTGTTGAATATGTGAAAGGTAAGCTAATACCTACAGAATACAGTGTAACGTTGTTGTATTTCCAGGATGGAAGACATAAGATAGTTTGTATTTTAAATATTTATTTTAAAAACTAACAATTAAATTCCGGGCTAAAAGAAGGTCAGAGCTGAAATCCAAAAGCAGCATCGCAGCATAATTTTGCAGAAGGGGGGAGAAGTCTTCGTAGATGCACAATGAGTCTTACCATTCAGGCATCTCAAAGCATTCTCATTTTAGCTTCTCTATCCTCTTTAAAGAGTAACAAAAATCCTTCAGGGAAGAAATCCAGTATCTTTTCACTAAGTGTTTTCTCTAGCGGCACATAAAAATTTTCCACTGGGTAATGAAAAAGTTTTTTTTTTTTTTTTTTTTTTTTTTTTTTCCATAGGGGAAAACCCTTTAATATAAAACACTGCTGTGATGGCACAACTCTTTCCCTCTTTCTGGAAGCTCTCTTGGAGAATGTCAGATTAGTCCCTAAAATTGCATCTCCTGTAGTCACATGATGACATCGAACAGGAAAACATAAATATTCACAAATAATTCTGGGTTAAGTACCATGAATTAAACTGTTTAAATTGAGGCCAGTATAAAAACACAACAAATTTTTTCTCTACATTTAAAACACTGATTGTTGCTTCCAGATAATGAGTACATATTCCCAACGACTAACTTCATTTCAAAATAAACATACAATATTACAGTTTCTGAAAATTTACATTTAAACAATTTAAAATTTAATTTTTTTCTAGGAAACATTGAAAAAATATGATACTATTTGTTTTATAATTTTATCTTGGCTCAAAAGGAAAACCTTGCAGATATTTATTTGCTAAGTTCTGGAACTAATCTCATTGTGGAGATCCTAATCTTGCTCCCGAATTTCTGCACTTAAGGCACCGTTGTTTTATCACACTGCAAGAAACATACATACATGCATGCAGATTCATTTTATAATTTCTTTAAATATAAGACAGGGCGATAATATATGATGGCAACGATTTGAAAAGTGATACAGTCTTTTAAAGTTTTCGATGCAAAATGCCAAAACAAAATTAATAGTCCTTCAAGGCAAATTGCCCCTTATAATAGAACTGGGATACAATTAAAGATACTAATACTAAAAAGAAAGGTTAAATATTTATTTGCTTGCATAATTTTTTTTTTTTTTTTTTTTCCCAATTTAGGTTGCTTAAGTTTTCTTTACTGCTAATACTTTCTTTTTAATGTTATAGACAGATATAATTTTTCTTCAATTACAGAGTTCCAAATTTTGCAATTACCGTGTCGAGAATTCCAACTAATTTGTCAATCAGAATTTGTTTTTTCTCAACATCACTGTCACTTTCTTCACTATCAGTAGCAATATTTTCTGGATTTGAAACCATACTATAGATTTCGCAGTTCATTAACGCGTTCACTGCCACAACGTTAAAACACTATTTTATATAATTCGATCTCTGAGGGTGGAAACATTATTTTCAATGGCAGTAAATGTTCATTGATTGATATTTGGGGCATTACCATCGCAATGGAATACCTATCACATCAGCATAATTTATTGCCATTTCTCCCTAAATTCCATTATTTGAAAAATTCCAGTTTTTGTTTGCCATATCCGAAAATCTTCAAATTCCTGGCTATCGTCATAATGCTTAGCATGATACACTACTGGCGATGTATCATCAGATCGCAAAAATTTGTTTTGCTCCAATCACATGCTGAGGAAGTTATTAGCTTTGTTAATTATTATGTCTATTTTCTGCATTTGTCCTGCTTATCTGAGTCACCATGAAATAAATTCCCTATGTAACAGGTGACTTGCTCACCTAAGTTATATATTTAAGTCAGTACTTTTCAGTTATGTATCTGTAAGGCATTTTTCAGTTCAAAATTATTGATTGAAATAAAAACATTAATCAATTTTATTATTCGTATATGTAAAATAAAATATGCCAGAATTAAGATATTTTGATGAAAACTAATTTTATATAAATTTTGGTAATCAAGTAATATGCAATCTACTGCTTTTGGTTAGTTATTTTTTTGGATGGTGGCACTAAAACTGGTTGTTGTTTTAATCATTTCTATTTCCCGCCCTTTTAATTACAAGTTCGAATTTCAAACCAGCATTTTAGTGCTGCCATCTAAGAAATAAATAATGAACTAAAAGTTGTAAATTGATTACCAGATGGTACGGCTAATAGGTGAAGTACAGCTATGATTTCCAGAATTTTTTAGGCATAGGCTTAAAAAGTAGAAATACAATGTTCCAATCAGAGCTGTTAATTTATGAGCCCAGATAACACGTTATTCTTCCTGTGTTAGGATAAATGGCTACTGTTCACATGTTACTGATAAATGGTAGGATACATCATCAATTGAACAGTGCTTTTAATTACAAGTGACAACTAATCAATACAGTAATTATCAGGTAAATGCCTTTTGCATTTTAACTACTAAACTAATATAGAATTTCAGGGGAAGCAAGAAAAACTTGCTTTAATCCTCTAGTGAAATTTATTCCTGTTACATCATTTTAGATATTGATTGTTTACATACTGAAAAGATTTTAAAACATTATCCGAAAGCCAAGCTGCAAAATATAGAATAATGTTATATTTTTCAAGTTAGTACACTTTTACATGCTGATATATTTATGTAGTGATCAGTATTAACAGGAAGCAAATTACTAACTGAAAGTAATATTTTGTACCATATTTTTATAACATGAAATTATTAATTATTTGTGAAATAGTCAGAATTAAGCGTGATGGCTAATAATTGTAATTTTATTTGTGCAAGGATAAAGATAGGAAAAAAAATGACAATTTATATAAAAAATTATTTTTATTTTATAATAAAAATTTCAATATGCAAATATTTCCAGCTGATATGCAGGATAAAAGTATTTCACAGGTAAGTGCTGCAGTGTAAGAAAACTAGACTTATTTCATTATTACAGGCACTAAAGGCATTCAGTCAGAATGCAAAGTGGCACCAAAAAGATAGTTTTAAAAAATTTTTACAGAGTAACAAATTAACATTTATATAACATTAATAATATACATATCTTACAAGACTTCACTATAGAAAAAAACTTAGAGAACATTTATTTTGGACAATACTCAGAACTAATGAAAAAATTCAATAACAATAAAATTTCAGGAAGGTTAATTTGCTATCTAATATATGTAGGATGTTACGAAAATTTTAGGAATTTGGGTGTAATTGTTTTAGTACGTCAATTTTCAATAATATATCAATGGAGTTTTTTGATATAATCTCCATTTAGTTCAACCCAATAGTTAGTTATCCCAAAAAAAGTAATTTTTTTTAAAGCTATTCTTCAAGAATGCTTTTCGTGTCTTCTCTCTCTCTCCTTTGGTATGGTTAAATTCTCAAACTGAACACCAGATAAAGGTTTTTTTTTTTTTTTTTTTTTTTTTCTCTTCCAATGTGGGAATAAAATACTCCTCAAGGATGTTGAACACTTTTTGAAATTTTTTCAAAAACAGTGGTACAAAAATGTGCCTGTATCAGTCAAACAACTAAATCGGACAAAACAATATTGCAGGGGCAGCATAACTATGTCAATATTTATCTCTGACTGATAGCATTGCTTAAATTTTCTAGTAGGTGAAGTACAGCTCAATTCCTAGAAGAAACATCCTATGCATGAAATGATTTGTATTTAAATGAAAACAGGGAATTTAAATTAGACAAATACATGCAGTTTCAAAACTGACATTCAGATTTTTAAGAAATTCTTTTCATATGTAAGGCTTCTAATTAAGGAGGAATAAATGATATTTTCAATATCACTTATTATATAGCTATCATTTTACAAAATAAATATTATGAAGTATCTTTTTCAATTAATATGATTTTTATAAAATTAATAATAAAACAAAAAAACAAATAATTATTAAATTTTATACAACTTGGTTTTATACAATAATATTAAAAAACTGCATGGATTACAAATTATGAAATTAATATTATTTTACACATAATGCTCAACATTTATTTAAGAAATAAAACAGAAATAAAATATCAAGATAATTTAATATTAAATAATTTGTTTTCCAGAGACTTGAAATTTAGAGAAAGCAATTACTACATAGCCACAAAAATACTAAATTAATGTAGGTTAAAAAAAAAAGTTTTCCAAACCAAATTTTTGTCAATTTATTTTACACGCTGTAGATGAAATGTCAGAGAGTAATTAAATATGATAACATGCTTTTTTATTGCAGTAAAAGACTGACATAATGAGCAAATTACACAAATTTGTTGATAAACTGACTTGAACTTAAAAATTTATTTAAATGAAAAACAAATAACAGTTCACTATAAAATAATTATATAAGAAACAAATGTCATCTGATATAAAGCATGTTAAAAACTGCATGAAATTTATTTGTTTTCAGTTCAAAATTATTTTTACATGCTATAAGTTTTTGCTAAACAGAATGAATCTTAACAATCAGAAAAATGAACAGAATTTCCTTTTTAAGTCATATTTAATGTTGTTTGTACTAAATCAGATAACCTCATATAATTCATCCATCATTTATAATTACTGTGCAATTAAAATAGAATGCTAGATGATTCTTACACAATGAATTTACTGAAATGAGCTGATGACAATACAATAAAGAAAAAAAATTGGTTTGAACAAATTATATTTATCAACATCGAAAACAATTTTGTTTTGAAACAGAAATGTGCAAAATATATAGAAACGCAACAAAAATAAATATATTTCATTTAAAGCTAAAAAGAAAAAATAATTAACTCTGGTAATAAGTTATATACTCTACAGATATAGATTTGTCTTCATAAGTTCCTATAATTACACAGAAAAATCTGAAAATGTAACACAAATATCTAAAAACATGCAAAGCAAAATTTCATTTATAATCACAGACTGGCCTCAACATCACCTATGCCAAAATATAAATTTGAGATCCAAGTTCAAAAATACTAAAATCTTTTTCTTGCAACGATGCTTTAAAAGTATTCACAATAACAATTTTACTCAAAACAGTATCTCAATTTTTCAGGTAATCAATCAATAATTAGGAACTCAAATATCTCAACTGGTAGGATCTTCACAATCAACGAGTTCAGAACAGTCTTCTGCGGAAAGAATATTCTCTCCACAGTCATCCCTGTGAGTCTGCCAGTCTTTGCGTTGGCAAAAGGCACTACAGTAACTTACACGATGGCAGCCAGTACATTCTGAAAATGCTTCTCTATCACAGTTGGCACATCGCTGAAATAAAAGGAAAAAAAAATTACTCAAGAAAAAGCATAATGTGAAATAGAGAAAACCGACAGATTATGAGAATATTTTGAAAAAAGACATCGAAACAAAGCTTAGCATAAAAAATTGGAAATTAGACAATTTAATTTAAAAGTATTTACAGCAGTTTCCTCGCTTTCACTAAAAAGTGGTTTTAAAAAGTCAATTTTCACTAAAAAGTGATTCAAAATTTTAAGATCTATTTGATAAAATTCAGGATCATTTTAATGATTCAAAAGTCTCTAAAAGTGAAAGGTAAAGATATTTTTAAACACAACAGAATGTTTCATTTCAATGTTATGTTTATTAAAAAAAACTGTTAATTTAATACATTGTCATTTTAATAATGTAAAATGTGCAATATTTGTTTAAAAATTCATCAGAAAATTCCCAAAACCATTAAATTTTTTTTTTACAGAAACTGGTCTTCAAATTGCCAAAATATTAATAAATCACCTAACTTAGCAATAGAGAAAGGGACCCAAGAAGAATTCCTCTGTCAAAAGCAAAGAACTTGTTTTTTACATAATAAAGAGAATGATGAATTGAAATGCAGTAATGCAAACTGATGCCAAAAATATGCCTTTAAAATATAGATCTGGCAACAAATTGCCAAACTGGATCAAATTTTAGCTCTTTTATAAAAAACTGTAAAAAATTCATTTTAAGATCATAAAACTATGCGTTTTCATAAAAGAAAAATCCATTTCTTATCTCAATTTTTTTAACAAAAAAGTGCAGTTTACACAGTTTGCAGAAACTATGATAACTAGATATAAACAGATAATAGTAACTAAAATCTCACTGGTGATGTTTTGTTGCCAAGAAAGTGCGAGTTGGTTTAGCTAATAAGTACCATTTCTTCATATGCTTCACATTCAAACAAAACTTTTAATGAATTCTTATATTTAAAAAAAAAATGAAGTATTACTTTTTACAACCCCCACAGCCTTAAAATAAAAATAAATAAATAAATAAATAAATAAAATCCCAATATTGCTAGTCCCTTTCAGAGTTCTTCAATAAATGGGATGGGAGTATGCTTGCAGAGTTACTCAGTGTGGAGCTTCAAATCTGGCTTGAAGGGTTGAGACTACACAGTGCATTTAAAATATTTAAAAAAAAAAAAAAAAAAGAAGAAAAAAAAGAAAAGAAGGTGAAAAAAAATCTTATTTTAATATAAATAAACTCTAATTTTCCCAAAAGTAATATTACACTCGCTGAAATCTTCATAAGGAAAAAATCATTCAAATCTATTCAAAAGAATACCTCCTTACCTTCAGAGAATCAGACTTATCAGTTACAATTGCATGAAGTTTCTCTTGCATTTCTAATCGTGCTTGTTGCAATGCTTGCTCAACTGCTGCTTCTTTTTCTGCTTTTGCTTCCAAAATGGCTCGAGAAAGTGCCATTTGTGCCTCAGTTCGACATGCAGTTAATGCCTAAAACAGATAATAGTTGAAATGTATGTGTATGTGCATGTATGAAGTAATATTGCAGCCCTATGTTAAGTACCTGCATCATTATCATTACATAATAATAATAGTATCATATATGTTCTGGCACAATTTTAGGCACTACACATGCTTAATCCTTTACCTCCATATTAGGTAGGTGTACGGCTCATCTCATAAGCTTTCTCAAAAGAAGTATCAGAACGTCTTATAGTCTTGGGGTCCCCAATCCATAGAACAGCAAACTTTCAAAATGAATTCTTTCTAAAGGCTTATTACCATGAGAGGGAACATATTTCTGAACAGGTATCTGGATGCCTGTGCCAGTCTGTCTATCCATAAAAACATATCTCCGGCACAGCAGATACATATCTGCAGCACTCAAACTGGGAGTCGTAATCACTGCGCATGACAGGATATACTATCGTTGGAGATACATTTCGTGACAGCCAGTAAAAATTATATATGGAAATTATAGCAATGGCAACTACTGAAATAGCATTTAGCTTATGGAGTAACATATGCCATGAATTGTTTGGATCTGAAGCTGTTATTATTTTAACAAACTTAAATTTATGATGTGATATTTATTTTGGATTATAATTGATTGATCTCTTTATGAACAGAATATATTTTTCATCTTGATACACCTTGTCACAGTAAGCTATAGACTTGTGTATTTTTATCTCGCTTGTTAGCATTAACTAAATCTGCAAGAATATTTTTCCTGTTTAAGGGAATACTATATTCTTCTGTTCACAGATGTCTGACAAACAAGAAAAACTTAATTTATCCTATGTTTATATTTGATTACACAGTAGAAGTCCAGAAATCCACAAAGCTTGGGACCAGACGTTGTGCAGATTTCAAGACAGAAAAGATAAATCATAATATTCAGACTAAAAGTGCAAAATAAGTAAGGCGTATTAGATACATTTAATCAAATTATTATATACGTTATTGCAATAACTTATTACAGTCAAAAGTCGTTAATCTGGACTCGTCGGGACTTCGGCAATTCCGGATTATCGATTTTTCCGGATTATAGATCATCAGTTTAAATCTGGTAAAATGGCATGCAGAAATTATAAAATTAAAAATATGAAACCGTAATTTATGAAATAAAGAACAATTATGATCTAAAGGGTATCAAAATTTACAAAAAAAAAGCTTAATATTTATTTGTTTACTTTATTAAACATTTCTTTCAATGAAACAAGATGACCACTAAAGTTGCTTCGTTTTTTATGTGATAATACATTCTCTTTAATTCTATAAACAGACATAATTTCTTGTTCAGTTACAAAGTTCCGCTGTTTATAATTGCTGTGTCGAGAATACCGACTAATTTGTCAATCGAAATTTTTTCGTTTTCAATAACCTCTGTCACTTTCTTCGCTATCGGAGAAGCGAATTATAATGACGAGGCATTTGATTTAAATCATATCAAAGACGGAGTACATCGAGATGAAATACTACATTGAGTAAGCAATTATAAGTCAAATAAAATAAAAACATCTGCCCATAAGACAAGGTTAGTGCTGATAGATCAACTTCCAATTCATTGCACGCCACCGCCGCGTTAAAGATAAACAAACGTTAAAGTTTAGATAAACAAACGTTAAAGTTTAGATAAGCAAAGGATATGCCTTTATCCATTTTTTGCAGCAATTCCACTTTTTGTTTAATGGACTCTGAAACATACTTTCGCTTTGTATATCCTTTACATATTAGTAAATATATATCGGAAATTCTATTTGACATAATCGAAAGTTCAAGCTTACTTTTATAAAATTGCTCTAACAGTCTGCAAAAAATAATAATCCGGATCCAATTCAAAGATTAAGGAACAACGCAATCTGCAACATTAACTGAAATAGATAATTAGATAATTTTAGCTTAGCTTATCCCGTCCGTTATACATTAAACGCGCATTCGTAAACGTATTTTGCGCATGCGCACACGCAAATTCGTAGCGGTGAAGGTCTTACGCGCATGCGTCAATGCGACGCATGTGCGGAAAGTTTGTAGCTCTGAGGTCCGGATTATAGATCATTCCGGATTATGGGTGTCCGAATTAACGACTTTTGACTGTATATGCATTAAGTTATTATTACATATGTAAATTGATTATATTATTAATTGTATTATATATACACAGCATTGAGATTTGCCGATTTTGCCTCATGCAAAGATTTCCGGTTTCGGATTCCAGTGTTAGAATCACTGTTGCTGTATACACAATCATATCGTAATTCGATACATTTCTGCTGTAAAATGCACCTGTCTCCATCTTTTGCAGAATTTGCACTTTTTGCATTACCGTCAATATAACATTGTTTACATTTTTCAATGTTGCAAGCACTAAAATCATGAGTGTGTTTCTTATCTGTAATTGTATTAAAAAGGGCTGAAATTTAAAATATTCTTTATTTATCAACAAAATATCCGCTTTCTTACCTCGATGCAGATTAGAGGGGCAAAAAACTTTTATCATGATGTCAATAATTTGGTATTTCCGTTATGACTCATTATTATTCGGTAATTATGACATCATTATTTGGTAAGTTTTTTTTTTTTTTTTTTTTTTTTTTTGATTTTTTGTACTCAACGTTGCAGTTTCTGGAACCTATAAACTGAATATTTATATTTTGAGAGGCAGTACGGATTTCAGGAGTTGGCGGATTTCAGGTAAGAGGATTTTAGGTATTTGATTGTACTTCCAATTTTTCTATTGCTAATGATATTTCAACTTTTGAACTAGATCTAGCTAGCTGGATCACTTGGTGTATTTACTGAAACATTTAAATTTTTTATGAACTAGCAGATGGCGAGTTTCAAATCAGCTGAGCTATTTTCTGATTCTTTCCACTGAATAAATGTTTTTATTGTTTTTGTTATTGTGTAATTAACAGATAAAATTAGTAAAAAATTGTTCAAATTTTTACATGTAACATATAATAATTTTACCTTTTTTATTATTATAGAGAAAGTGTTATTATTTCATTATCTTATCACTGTACACTGCACAAAAAAAGGGGGGAACAGTTCTGTAGCTCCCGTTCTACCAGGCAGATTGACGAAATTCAACTTGCGTTTTTCATGTCTCGAAAACGCGACTTGGAATATGTATTAGATTTATATATAGCATTGTTCTAATATAGGTATTTTGACACAAAACCAGAGTCCTTTATGACATGACATGCCAATTTTTTTCCATATTTCAATTCTATGACTCAAATTATGCCAAACTGCAAAGTTTTGTAAAAATCACATGAGAAGTTTTTAAAAAATTAGCTCTTAAAATTTTAGCTTTTCAATGTTAATTGAATTTGATAAATATTTATTAATATCTCTTTTTTTATTAAACTTACTTGATTCTTCCTTCCAGAATTTGAAATTTAGGCTTAATCCAAATATAATTCGCACATTTTTTAAAATTTATTTTTAAATAATTTTATACATTTTTTGAAAATATTTTTATATTGTAACCTACAAAATTTTTAACATCATCTCAAAGTAGATGTATTTCTAGGCACATCTATAAAAAATTAGACTTTTTTGTATTCAAAATATTGTAAGCTATACATGAATTTACATATTGGTGCATTCTGGAATTTGGCATATTTATTATAAGCAATAAAAACGGCAAATAAGGTTTACACTATTATTGAATGATTATTATTAAAATTATGTGAAAGTAATGAACGATGACTTTTTTCCCTCTCATGTACAATGAAAAAAAGGAAAGGAAAATAGGTTGCTATAAATTAAGAAGCCCATCAAGTAAATTAAAGATAAATTTTAAATTTCTCACCAAAAATTACGAAATTTAATATTTAGGCATAATTTGAGTTGTAGAATCGAAATAAGGAAAAAATTTGGCATGTCATTTCAGAAAAAGTCCAATTTTGTGTTAAAATACCTATATTAGAACAATGCTATACATAAATCTAATATATATCCTAAGTCTCACTTTCGAGACATGAGAAACACAATTTGAATTTTGTCAGTCGGCCCAGTAGAACGGGATATATAGAATTGTCCCTTCTTTTTTTCACGCAGCGTACATAAAATTTTATTTCAATTATCTATATGATAATTCAAAATTAATTATTAAATTTTTACAATATTTATAAAGTGATAATTCTTTTTTTTCTTCTTTCATGTACATTAAAATAATGCTTCACTAAGAATCTAATTATCAGCAATGTATGTTATATATGAAGTAATTGATTTATTTTCTTTTTACATATGAATGAAAATATATACATATGCATTATATTTCACAATTAATTGCTTTCCTTTCCCATTTCATTATTATTATTATTATTATTTCATTGTGCATGTTTATAAGTGTTACTTTCTGCCTGCTATTATTTATCATCATAATTATTATTATCACAACTTATTTTAAAAATTAAGCCCTGAAAAATAAAGGTATTGAAACTTTGGAAACTATTAGACTTGTTGCAAGACCAATGGAGATCTCCTATTGGAACTAATTACATCATCTGCTTTGACTAGCTTAGTAGCTCACAGCAACTTAATTACAAAATCTCTTTGTGTAGTTGAAATGCTGTTAGGCAACATGTCTGCCATGGAGACTGCTGTGTCGTTGAGCAACTTTATCTCCTCACGTAAACAGGCCTTAAAATACTCCATCCTTCCCATGGTCACCACTCCAAGGAGCATGGAGACCACACATAGCATATATTGAAATCATTCAAAACTGCTCACTACTCATTTAGATGGCTCGCATCACTACCCTCTGGGGACACATACCCAACCCTTTCAGATAGTAGGAACCAGGTCCATGCATGTCCTCCAGAGTTGAAACTGCCAGAATATAAGACAAAGCCAGTGTCTTATATGACAAGCCTCAAAGGAGGATTCTTACATAACATTAACTATAAATACATATGCACTGTCTACCATTTGTCCACAGTGTGACTTGGACCAATTTGACTTGAAGACAATTTTCTATGCCTGATGTGGGAAAGAATATTTAATAGTATTTTTCCTGGTGAATCAGCTTGAGTCTTAGAGGATGAAGTTGCTTCTTCAGCCTGTAAAGTGCACGCTGATTTTAGGGCACATTCTGGAGGGAAAAAAGTGCATCTTATGGTTCAGAAAATATGGTATGTCGAGAAATAATACATATTCAATTAGTCATGATTGCAGCTATCTTGTCATGTATAAGTTTTCATTGTTAACATACACATCAATAAATTATTTCATTATAGAGTCAATAATGACTCCATTACATGTACATATTAATATACTAACTTCTTTTTTCTCAATTTCCATTTGAATCCTGAGTTGTTGCAAAGCTGCTTCTCTAGCTGCAGCACTTTCATTCTTTACAGCTTCAACTTGTTTCTGAAGTTCCAGTACTTGCCGTACTGCATTCTTTACCATCTATATTAGAAACAAATTATAATCACATATACATTATTATTTAGGTAAATTTTTTGAGGCATAATAATAAAGTTTACAAATTTATGCATCAGTTACAATGTTTATTCCACACTTTAAATATTTAACAAAAATCCCATACTCTGTCCAGAAATAAATAATGCATTCATATATAAAATAATTTTGTAACGCTTACATATTAGATTAATTCTGTAACTAAAATTTCATGTAATTCATGTCTTTTCTGCATTTACAACTTTCATTCTACAAAGTATACAAATTAACATAAAAGATGGCTGAGATGTATTCAGAGTTTGAAAAATAGGTTGTAGCTATTGACTGCCTCTACCTTGAAAATCAATTCCTCAGTGCTACGTGACTACTTGAAACCTTAATCTTGATTAAACAAGTCCCCATCTCTTCAGGATGTACCTTGTAACTTAGGTATCTGAATTTGAAACTTAGCATTAAATAAATAGTAACTAATATTAGGACTAGTATATACAGAGATCCAAAACCAGCTTTAAATAATTAATTTATTAGGTACACTTTTGTTCAGAGCAAGTGAAAGCTATAAATAGCTTTTATGCCCTTCAGTAAGATTTTAGGTATATCATCCATGCAGTATGTTGCATTTAAAAAATTAAATTTCTGATTAAAAAAAATATATATTTAGCACAAGTTCTGTTTCAGAAACAAACCTGCTGTTTATAGAATACAAGTCATGTATAAGAGGCCAAAGAGCTGTAGCTTGACTATGCCTGCTCAATAACTTCTTACAAAATCTTACACGTCAAATCCTGAAACATAAATATTTAAACAGAATACAGAAATGTGTTTTCATATCAGAAAAGCATCTTACTGACACATTTCTGGCACTATGATTAATTTTCTTCATTACAGGAAGTTTTGGTTTAGTAGATTACGGCAAAGTACCTCTAATGCCTCTAATGGAGGATCTTCTAAAGAAAATTTGCTCATATAACACATAGGGAAAGCCACGAAAATGCCCACTGCAGTCAGCCCATTTGCCTGGAATTGAACCCAGGTTAGAATTACCAGTGTTCAGCGATTTTACCACTCGGCCACTGATTGTCCCCTATACAAGAAGAATTTTAAATCATGGGAAATTATTAAAACAGAAAGTTCTTTTTCAGAATGACTGCCAAAAAAACATATACAGTGCAGAATCAGTCGCTGCAAAATTTGTGATCTCTTTGCTTATCATTCTTCCTAATGTAATCATAATAGGGTTCACACTGAAATTCAACTATTAGCTTGCCTTACTTTTCATGATCAAACAAAAAAAATTATTTGGCCAACCATAATGTTCTTTCTTTAGCTACCTAGTTAATCATGAGTAACTAAATACTCTTAGACATTTATTACAAAATACAATGAAATAATGGTATTATGTATTAGCATGCTCAACTATATCCATCATTTAATCCATAAATTTATCTTAATTTTTTTTTCTAATGGTTTGGTTTGTTTTACTTGAATACAGCAAAGCACTTAACAAATTTAGAAGCACTGATGTAGGTACACTGAGACGTAGAACTGCTGAAGCATGTAGATGGCATATTGAAGAGGATCCATACTGAAGAGGAACAATTCTGATTGTGTAGTATGCTAATATGTTGAGTTCAAAAAAGAAACTTAACAGCCAAGGCAGATTACATTCCATTTTTATATAAATCAACTTTTGTGGTAACAATTCACTTGGCACTTTAATCGTGTCTATTTCCAGAAAATTTAAATTTTTTAAAACCATTGAGATAGGAAGAGAACACAGCGAAATGAAATGCCATCCAAGAGCAACAGAGATACAAGCGAAGTATGCATTTATCCAATATGGCAGTTCACCAAAGAAGAAGGTTTTGGTTTACATTAGAAAGGTTTCAGTTCTCAGGATTTAGGTTCCGTAATAACTACGTTATCAGCATTATGCAAGCTCTGACACAGATTTATCTAGAAATGACACAGTCCAGAACTATTATAATTTATTTAGAATGAAGAGAAAATACTCAGATTAAAAATGAGGAATTAAGAGGCTATTATTAAATTCAATTATAAAGTTGATTTACATATTATTTTATATTATATAATGAAAAAATTCACTTTACAAAACGACTGGAGAAAGTTACAAAATTCTGACTAAAAATGACTTCATGCTGAAATGAAACAAATACCCGAAACAAAAAAACTCATATACAATCAATTTATACATGTTTGGAAAATCAGTATTCAGAGTTTACCTCTTCTAGTTGCCACCACTGCTTTTGTTCACTGAAATCTAGTGCAGTAGGAGCACACCGCGGTGTTTGAGGAGTTGCAGCTGGTGTAACAATCACAGATTCTGAAATTTATAAAAGATACTAAAATCTAAGACAATTATATATACACTAAATATAAAAATGAGTCCAAAAATACACAATGAATACCAGCACAACACAAATGTGTATTCACTTACCTGGGCAAATTGTATTCCCACTGTCTCTTGTAACCAAGGGGACTAAATAAAATACAAATTTTAGGTTTGAGGGTAAAATTTCATACATTTCATATTAGTTTTTATTTCAAAACAATAAATTTTCTATTTTTAAAATTGAGTATTTATCAATATACCTGTTAAGCCACTAATAGAGTCTGATGAAGCACCATTTGTAGAAATGTCTTCAGATCTTAATTCAACAGGAGCAGATACAACATCTAAAAAAGGTTATGCATTGACAAAACTTTTATTTTATGAGTCACAGCTCTGAAATTGTTCATTCAAAAAAATCATCATTTTTATGGTTTGAGAAAATTTCAGGAGCAAATTTTGTTTTCATATTTTTATTACATTCAACAGCAAGTTAATGTTTCATAAAATTATTTGTTTAAGATGCCCTCATACACGTTCTATCACCTGAGTGTTGGCATCACAGCAAGATCATCAAAATTCATCTGTATTTACCATCAGGTTGTCATATCATGTGATTCATACCCATAAACAAAGGCAAACGCAGGGTAGGTCACCTGTTGTTACAGATGTCGTCCAGCAGGCCACTTGTAGCGAGAATACTAAATATGTTTTACTTTAAATTTAACAAACATTCTCTATTCGTAAAAAGTAAATTTAAAGTTAATTAAATTTTAAATGAAATTGAATTACAAATAAATGATTAATTATTGCTGCGAAGTAATGTACAATATAATTTAAATTCTGACAGCATATGTAAATATTAGCAATACCATTTAAATTCCCAGTTTTTTAAAATTTTCTTGTCCAAAAATTAAGAATTTTTACTTTAAAAATTCAGTGTATTGTAGGTTAGCTCCCTCTTTACTTTTATAATGGCTCGTCTCAATCACATAAATTTCTATAAATGTCATTCTAGCAAATGACTTACTTGTAAAGTTAGCATTATGCCTTTTAATATTACAGCCACAAAAAAACTCCCCCTTTGAAAAACATATAATTACATTTATCTTATCTCTTGTAACACCTGTAACCTTAAATATGTAGGACAAACCAAATATAGTCTTAATATTAGAATTAACAACCACAGAGCACATATTAAAAAATTCGCTACTACTAATTTTAACTCGCTTAATACAGCAGAATTAGAACATTTTCAAATACATATTTCAGCAAAATTAGTATTCAAATTTTGGACATTGTACCTGAATACAAAGAAAGATTATTTCAAGAGTCACTCTACATGCTTAAATTCAAAACACTTTACCCATATGGACTAGTAAATACATTCAACCAATACATTAAATTAACTTCTGAAATTCCAACTTAGAGACATTTTAAATTATTCAGTAAAAAATTATTACGAGAAACCAGAGCAGGTAAAAATAATTTTTTTTCTACAATAGATACAGTAAAGTTGAACAATAATATTAATAACTACTTTCTTATTGAAAATTTTACCAAAAATATAATTACTTGTTTGCATACTTGTAAGCACAAATTCTTAATGATACTTATAAAATTTATTAAACAGCATTTTACTGGACACAATATTATCAAAGACCTTGTTATAGATTTTTGAAATTTTTAATTCTCTACCAATAACAAGTACAATAAATATTACTGCAAAACTTCCTACATCCAAACTATGACAATATTCCTTTCAGCAAGATTTTCAGAAAATGTCAACGATTTCCAGCTACTAAAGTACAAATCTCACCAGCTTTCAAGTATCAAAAACATCTTAGCAAATTGCTAATTAACCACAATGATCTAGATCTGATGATTTGAAATTTTTTATGTCTCTCTAATTATTACTGAACTGAATAATGCAATTACTTACAAACTTACCAATTCACAAGAAAATGTCATTGCGAAAAAGCTAAAGCAATTCATAAGAAACTACAAATTTCACAACCATCTAACTACAATAGATTAGCAAATCTATATGCTCTTCCTAAATTCCATTAATCATCACTCAAATTTAGATTTACAACAAATGGTACAAATAATTACAAAAAGAATATAGATTACATATTTGGAATTAAACTGAAAAAAATCTGTATTTTAATTCATCAACTAATTAACAAACAACACAACTATAGTTTGATTATTTGTAATAATGCTCCAGTTCTCAACAAATTTAAAAGTTTCGAAATCAAGAACATTAACTGCTATGACATTGAAAACCTTTATACTTCTCTACCATTAAAAGAAATGTTTACAAGTTTAATGCAACTCCCACAACCTTTTCCTGACATGCTTAACACCCTTTGAATTGAAAGATGGAAAACTTAACCTGAATTGTGCATTATTTAATAACTACATTAAATTCAATAATAAGATCTTTCAGCAGGTGAGAGGAATACCAATGGGAGCAAACAGTTCTACACAAATATGTAACCTATTTCCTTTTGCTTATGAATATAAATTCCAACTAAGTTTGAATAAGAATGAATTAAAGTTATTTGCAAATACATCCAGATACATTGATGATATAACAACTTTCAATAATAATTCTGCTTTTGAACAATTCAAAATTTACCCAAATAGTTTACCACTTAATAAAACTAATACTAATCAAGATACTATTGAATACTTAGACCTACTCATAATGTCATACTATCTCTAGAAAAGTAATAGGTAACACTTTTTATAGCCAAATAATCAGAATAAAAAATATATGTACTGAAATAGAAGATTTAAAGGAAGAAATAATAAAGCTAATTAATGTTCAAGGTAATAACCAAGTCCCAGCACAACTTATTAATTTATATTTTAAAAAGGCAGGCATTTACTTTTCTTTATAATTTTTTTACTCTTAATGGTATGATAACATTACCTTAAACCTTAACTGAAGGGTAGTGGAGGATATTGAAGAGTTAAGGGATTATCTTGTAAATATTTATTGTAAATACAGTCAAAAGTCTTTAATCCGGACTCGTCGGGACTTCGGCGATTCCGGATTATCGATTTTTCCGGATTATAGATCATCAGTTTAAATCTGGTAAGATGGCATGCAGAAATTATAAAATTAAAAATATGAAACCATAATTTATGAAATAAAGAACAATTATGATCTAAAGGATATCAAAATTTACAAAAAAAAAAGCTTAATATTTATTTGTTTACTTTATTGAAAATTTCTTTCAACGCGCGCATGCGTAAAGCATATATTATGCATAGTCGAAATTAGAAAATTGCAACCAGAAAACTATTTGATTTGTATTCATGATATTTATAATGATGAGGAATTTGATTTAAATCATATCAAAGACGGAGCACATCAAGATGAAATACTACATTTAGTAAGGAATTATAAGCTGAATAAAATAAAAACATCTGCCCTGAAGATAAGGATAGTGCTGACAGATCAACTTCCAGTTCATTGCGAGCCGCAACTTCCCCCCCCCTCGCAGAGCAGCATGAAACTGATTAACAGATTTCGGAATGGTTAGAGAAACAAACGAGCCTTTATCCATTTTTTGCAGCAATTCCACTTTTTGTTTGATGGACATCGAAACATGCTTTCCCTTTGTAGATCCAGCATCAGAAATTCTATTTGACATAATCGAAAGTTTCAACTTACTTTTATAAAATTGCTCTAACAGTCTGCAAAAAGTAATAAGCCAGATCCAATTCGAAGATTAAGGAACAACGCAATCTGCAACATTAACTGAAATAGATAATTAGATAATTTTAGCTTAGCTTATACCGTCCGTTATACATTAAATGCGCATGCGTCAACGCATTATGCCTTGACGCATGCGCAGAAAGTTTGTAGCTTTGAGGTCCGGATTATAGATCATTCCGGATTATGGGTGTCCGGATTAACGACTTTTGACTGTATTTGTAGAAATGTATATAATTAATATTGGATTCTTTCCTTTAACTAATAATGGTTCCTTTCCTTTAACTAATAACTAATAATAACTTTTCAAAAGTCTCAATTGTAGCCCGAACTGAGTGGAGATTTTTAACTTTTTCTAATTTTCCTTACTTTTTGGTCAGTATTTAGAGTAAGTTTTGATTAAACATGTTGAAATTCAGTTTTAATAAATTAAGACTATTGCAATAAATTTTTTACTTTAATTAAAAACATTAAAACAATTTTTTTTCAATTTTTCAAAATTAAAATTAATTTTTTCCAAAACATTTTCAATTTTGTACAATCCTTAATAATTTGCAACCATTTTTTCACATTATGTTACAGTTAACATTTTCAATTAGCATTTCTACAATTTTTTACACATTTTTACAATACTTCACAGTTAGCAAAAACATTTTTGCAACAGTACACACCTTTTACATTACTAAAAGTTTACAGAATAGGTTTTTAAAATAGATCTAACAGATACCAGCTTAACACTCAAATTTACCTTACATTAGTGGCCTCTATTTATATCGTTAGAAGAAACACACTACTTAACATCACTTAGTTTGGCATGCTGCTCTCCTGTCCAAATACATATATAGTTGGTAAGTTAAATTAAAACTTACTTTTTACTTGCCTTTTTAGTATTATTTATGTATTTTTATAAATAGTATCTAGTTTCTTTTTGATTTATTTGCATAATTCGTGTCAGGGAAGTTTTTTGTAGGCAAAAGTTTCTAAATTACTTTGGTTTTCTACTCTTAACTGACTTTAATTATTCTAGTCTTTACTTGCTAATTTCTCTAAATCCCACATGTTTAAATTTCTTTTTAGCAGTTCACAACATTTGGTTTTACTTTTGGTTTTGAATTTTCCTTTTACCCTTGCCTACATGGATGATGAAACACAAAATGAATAATTGAAGAGTTAGGTTTGGAGGCAACTTCCCCTTGATGAGTATGTCTCCTGCCTGCTCAACAATTATTCACTTATGCATTTTTATAAATTTTTAGGATATACTGACAGATATCTTTTACATGTAACTATTCCAGTCAACAGTTGTGTTTAGATTAATCTGAAGAAGGATTTAGTTTGCGAAAATTCAACAGACATTAACATTTGATACCATAAATAAATTCATTCGCAGTAACGAAAGGATGCATAATCCACTAATCCACAAACCATTTTGTGTTTGAACACCTTTTCCTTCCCTGCATGGCCATTTTACTTTTGCATCACTTTATAACTTGAGGAAGTGACTACTCAAATATCATCATTGAAATGAATGCATCATTCAACAATGATTTGTATTTGGACATCTTTTTTTATCCTGGCATAAACAAGGCTGAACAGCCATTTCAGCTTGTATCACACTGAAATTTCTTGAGGTTATTTAAACAAAATCTTTTTTTTTTTTTTTTTTTTTTTTTTTTTTTTTTTTTTGATGATGATGATGATGATGACTAACTCTTTATCACAGAAACAGTGCTTGTTAATCTCTTGGCAAATCCCAAGTCATAAAACCCCATTGCGTTTTTTTTTTTTTTTTTTTTTTTTTTTTTTTTTTTTTTTAGGATGGCAATTATTTCCAGGAAAGAAACCTAAATGGCCTGCCTGGCATTGAGGTAATTTAGAAAAATAAAAAAAGTGCCATGCAGTATATAGCTTTCACAGAAAAGTAAACTGTTCCCATTCAGGCATCTTAAACAAAATTTACAATTGAATCCAAATTCTTTCTCTCTTGACTATGTATTTCTTGACTCTCTTGACTATTATAAGCTTTGTCTAAGCGATACTGATGTCAAATGTATGTCAGTACTGATTCTATGCCAATAACAACTCTATGGAGTGCTAGGTTTATGCTGGATTCGACCCTATGAAACAGAGATCTGATACCTGTAATAACAGTGAGAGACAGGACAAATGTGGTTTAATCTCTTGCTCATTATTATTACTGTTATCAAAATTTCTATTTTATCATGTGGATTAAATGACAATAAAACACTGACAGTCTCAATTCTACCCTAATGTTCACATGTTGATGTCAGTCTCAATTCTACCCTACGTAAATGCTATACATTATTGATCACCCACACTGTTGATATTGTGCAGTGTCAATCCTACAAATGTCAGCCAACTAACTGTGAATACACACTAATCATAATGAGAAGACACTGTTTTGCCCAGCACTAATGAACAGTTTCAAAGGATATTGTCTTTTTTGGGGGGGGTTATAAATAGGCATAAACAGTTTTCTTTCTAAAAACAGGTTCACAAAGAACACCACCAATCGCAAAGGCCGTCACAGTTAGCCATAAATCCATATTCAGCAGATATTGGATGAATTTCCAAGATCTGCTGTACAATAAAATGATTGGAAATTTGAAATTTCCAAATAATTTGGAAGTTCCAATCTCCTATGCAATAAAATAGAGCAAATGCTGAAATCGTCTATGGCAAGCCAAAAATTTAAGGAATAAATATTTCTAATGTGCCCAATATTTGATATTACATGGAGTGCAAAGTATTTGATAAGTAAATGTGCTATATGCAGTTAATTTACATTGACCTAATTCTTAAATAAATGCAGATTGTAATACTGCAAAAATCATTTATGTGCTTGTATTTAAATAAATAAAAATGCTCAGATAAAATTTTAAAAGTATTAAAGGAAATCTGAACTTACTGTCATTTGTAGAGATATTTACATTTGTAGTTACTTTGAGTTTGGGATGATTCTGTCGTTTCCTCCTTTTATAGGGTGTAAAAAGCCTTACTGGACCACTCTGAATGAGAAAGGGTTAAAAAAAAATTTTAAAAAAAAAAAAAAAAAAAAAACTAAGTAAATATATAGAGATTACAAAAATAAAAATTAAAAAATTAATGAACAGAGTTAATAACTGGCAAAATTTAATTTTTGGCATTAAGCAGAATAAAATTTTAAGAGAAACTGGTTCAAGTCTCTATTTATCATAATGCTTAATTAACCATTACAAAAATTATCTGATTTAAGAAAACTCATTCTAGCATCTCTTGAAATGCACCAAACTTCTTTTTCTATAAATCAAACAAAAAGGTCAGTTTTAAACTGACATGCATCTCTAATATAAAAATAACGAATTTGCAAATAAATAAACAAAATAACAGGAACAATAAATACAATTCTTAAGAAATAATGAACAATATGCCAAATGAGCAGTGACATAGCATCATAAACATAAACATAATGCTTATTTAAATGGATAAAAAAGTTTAAAAGATAGCAAAAAATATAAAATATACTGCTGATCTTGGAAACTGTAACAAGAATAAAAGGTAATATAACTCAGTTTATTTTGCAAAGTCCTTATGACAGAAAAAAGAAATTATTAAAGTTTCAGGTATGTTGAAAAAACAGAAATGTATTTTGATCAGTACCAAATAATGTATTGTCTCGATTGTAAAACGAATTTTCATTAAAAAAAAAAAAAAATCAGTGGTGCTACTTATACACAAGAATGATTAGAAATAGGTGCATACAAACAAGTGGCAAGTGGTTGAAGGTCTTAGTGACATGCGATGGGATATCAGTACCAGCGGTAACGACACTGATAGTGCAAGCAACTACTTTAGTAGACTAATAATGACAGTGACTAAAAGGTGCTAAACACACACACATGTTCCTTTTGACCAATAATAAAAATTTCATCTCAGTATGTACTAAGTACTATTTTCATTTTAGCTGCTTTCATGACAAACAAAAATATATTGCAGATGGTAGACAGGCTTTTTGCAGCTTATACTCAAGAAATTTTTTTTCTTTTTCTTTCTTTTTTTTTTTTTTCAAAATTAGAGGTGAAAACTAAGGATATAGCTTACACACATGAAACTACAATATATGATTTAGGTTGATCTTTACAATATGGTAACTGGTAGTTTGGCGACATTTTGGAGGCGATAAAGGTTACTACCTGGGACTTTGGTAATAATGTGAGCAGTACTCAGTTCCGATTACACATTATTTTGTGTGGGGGAAATGAGAGATCATGGGATATGTCATGTGATATTAATGGACGAATTACGGTTCTTTAATCGGAAAAGGGGGGAATTTGGACAAGTATCTGTGGGTGTATATTATTTTGTATTAAGCTTCATTGTGTGTTGTGTGAAGTAGGGTTGAATAATTTTGGGATTGTATGGCGCTGTCTAAAGTGAATTGTAGATGTGATAAAGAAAAATTTTTTTTTATCAAATTCTATCAAATTCGGAAAAAAAAATCGTTCAGTAATTTTATTGAATCCATAATAAAAGTGTATCCACCATGTAAGGAAGATTCGGAAAAAGATTAGGTTAGTTAGACTTTGTTAAGAATGTGGGAGTAGTATTCAGTTCTGATTACACATTATTTTTGTGGAGGGAAATGAGAGATCATGGGATATGTTATGTGATATTAATGGACGAATTACTGTTCTTTAATCAGGAAAAAAAATCTGGCAATTTTGTATTTGGCTTTATTCTGTGTGTGTGTGAAATAGTGTTTGTGAATTTTTGGATCCCATGGCCGTAACTAAAGTGAATTCGAAATGGGTATTTAGTGGTATTGAAAAGGATAGTAATAAATATTTTTTAAGGTTGTGCGAGAGAGAAATAAGAATGTTTTATTATGTTATTTATTTTACCTGGTATCTTGCTTTGAAAGATAAGTATGATTTTAAAGATTCTGAAACAGAAGTAAGAAAAGTGTATCCGCCACGTAATCAAGATTCTGAAGAAGATTAGGTAAGTTAGTATTTTTAATTATTTGAGGATATTATTTTTATGCATTGTTTGTAATGTAAGGTGGAAAGGAATTTGGTATTATTGGGAAAAATTGTTATTAGCAATGATTTAGTTTAAAGTAATTAGGATTGTAAGGTAATTTTTATTAATTTTAATGTATGTGCTCATTTATATTTTAAGTAGTGTTTTTTGAATTTAATTATATTTAATGAAATGATAGTTATTTTGTGAATTTTATGTTTGTAGGAATTTGGTATACAATTTAAGTTGAAATAAACGTGCATGGAAATAATTTAAATATTTGATATTAAGTATTTGTAATGCTTGTGGTACGAATTCGTTGGTGACGTGTATAATGTATAGATGATTTAGAGATAAAAGTTTTTGGATATTCTATTTATTTTATATGTGGAAATGTTGATATTTGTAAAGGGTAAATACTTTTTTTCGCGATCATGTAATTTCATATATGTTTTTTTAAACGGGGGTTTAAAGATTGAGAAAATTGTCATGTATTTTCGTGAAATTTTTTTAATTTATGAGAAAAAAGCAGTGTACATGGATATAGTGAAGAGTGTGCGCAATGCCATTTTTGTGCAATTCTGGGATGTTTTTTTAAGTAAAAATAAGTCGGCGTGTACATGGTTTATGTGTATGTGTTATTTTGAAAAATGCGTAAGGAGATGGTATTGTGCAGTTTTTCCTAATTTTGCAGTGAATATTTGTCATGATTAAGCAGTTTTGTTTGATAAAATTTCTAGCATAAGTGTAATTCGGCTAGTAGATTGTTGGAAGAAGTGTTCAGGAGATAAAAAGAAAAGAAACATGTCTTTACTTCGTGAAGACAAAATGGCGGCGGGGAAAAAAAAATAGAGGGTTGCTGTAGGAGAGTTGGTCGCCAAATTTTCGCCAAAAAATCGCCAAGTTACCATAATGTAAAGATCAACCATGATTTATATTTAACTGTGATTTTGATGACTGATAATTTTAAAAATTTGCATTCTATGAAGCTGTACTTTCTAAACTACTGAATTTTGTAGAAATGTAATATAAAAAATTGAAAACAAAGTGACAAAATGCAGGTCAGAAAATGATTTGAAGACAGATTTTTTTGGTACAACTCTGATATACGCCCTAATTTCACCAAATGTGGTGATATGTGTTCTGCGCTGGTTTTTGGTGCAACTGCGTGTTGTACGGCAACCCTGTTGACGTTGAAAAATCTTTCGCTGGAGTCCGTTGGTTCGCATCATGCTTTGTATCTGAGAAGCTAGGGGAGAAAGATAAAATGGTGGAAGTTGTTGAATTGAAGTTCGGCAAAAGGAAATATCGTCGTGGCCATCCTGTTGAGAAGCAGTGGGTATTTGGAGGTGTGGAAGATTATTTTTTGTGACAGTGCATGATAGAAGTAGGGATTTGTAATTATTTGTTATTTTATTTATTTGTGAACCATAGTATGAATTTTCTGTAGAATGTTATGTTCCTTGTTTTTTAGTATCAATTTCTGTCGTTATTGTTTTTTTTTTTTTTTTTCCTGAATTGTTTGAAATTTATTTGAGTTATTTTGTTGATTAGTGTGTACTGTCTAAATTGTACCATTCGTAGATGTTTTTTAAAGTTGAAACAGAATGCTGTATACATGGTATTCTTTGAAATTCATTGTTGTTATGTTAATTTATTAAAGTGAGGTGTGCGTAGTTTGTACATTCATTTGTTGCCTAAATTGTGCAATTCGTAGATGTTTTTTTTAAGTTTAAACAGGATGCTTTTTACAAGGTATTCTTTGAAATTTATTGTTGTTATATTAATTTATTAAAGCGAGGTGTGCGTAGTTTATAGATTCGTTCATTGCCTAGATTGTGCCATTCGTAGATGTTTTTTTAAGTTATCGCTGTGCACATGGACTCTTGTCAAATAATTTTGGTTAGAAACTTAACGATTTTGCTATCTAAATTTTTGTTTTGGATTTTTAGCTTAAATTGTGTGTTCAAAACCTGGTTTTTGCATTCGCGAAAACTGTGTTTTTGGAGACATTTTAGGCTTAAAGTTCAAAATGTAGACAAAAAATTTAAATAGCAATATGACAGCGTGGAGTTTCTCGCCAAAAATGTTTGGCAAGAAATTTGCCGACGTGAGGGCGCATATCAGAGTAGTTCCATTTTTTTTTATGACTCTTTCATGACAGATATTTCTTTCTTTATTCTCGGGCGAAGGAATTACAGCAAAATCCTCAAAGCTGTCAAGAAGCAACATACTGCAGCCAATAAAATGATAGCTTTTCATGAGGTGATAGTATGGATAATTAGAACGTAACAACATTTTCTTATATTATAGATCTTAAAGATTGATATAAAACAATAACAAACCGTGGCATCGGGAGTACCATCTCCATCAGCAACATTATCTTCACAACAAGCTCCACAAGTACAAGATGTAGCATGAGGCCGAAGAATGCCTTCCTCAATAAGGCACATTAATGTACGACCGGCATATCGTATACTCCGTTTCCAATCTTTGCTGTTTCCACGACCACACAATGCTTCAAATTCTGATGGGGTATACCACATACCATCAACGAGGATGCTGCGACCTCGACTACCTAAATAAATGGTACCAGACAGTTATATGCTGGGCATTTTAATCGTTATAACAATTAGTCATAATACTAACGTTCCCAAATAGTATATGTCTAAATACAAGAAATTCACATAATTTTTCACTTTTCAAATTATTGATATAAATGATACAATAAATACTACCTTAGAATATTTATACAGTCAAAAGTCGTTATTCCGGACTCGTCGGGACTTCGGCGATTCCGGATTATCGATTTTTACGGATTATAGATCATCAGTTTAAATCTCGTAAGATGGCATGCAGAAATTCTAAAATTAAAAATATGAAACCCTAATTTATGAAATAAAGAACAGTTATGATCTAAAGGGTATCAAAATTTGCAAAAAGAAAAAGCTTAATATTTATTTGTTTACTTAAATAAACATTTCTTTCAATGTAAGTTGTTTAAGTTTTGCTTCGTTTCATGTGATAATACTTTCTCTTTAATTCTATTAAACAGACATAATTTCTTGTTCAGTTACAAAGTTCCGCTGTTCAAGTCCTATAATTGCTGTGTCAAGAACACCGACTTCGGAATTTTTTCGTTTTCAATAACCTCTGACACTTTTCTTCGCTATCGGAAGCGAATTATAATGAGGAGGAACTTGTTTTAAATCATATCAAAATTCAGAGCATATCGAGATGAAATACTACATTTGGTAAGGAATTATAAGCCAAAAAAAATAAAAACATCTGATCTTCAATTATAAGCCAAATAAAATAAAAACATCTGCGCTGAAGATAAGGATAGTGTTGACAGATCAACTTCCAATTCATTACGTGCCCGCCGGCGCGTTCCCCCCGCCGAGCAGCGTGAAATTGATAAACAGATTTCGAATTTCAAAACATACTTTCGCTTTAGATCCTTTACATATTAACAAATATATATCGGAAATTCTATTTGATATAATCGAAAGTTTAAGCTTACTTTTAAAAATTGCTCTTACAGTCTGCAAAAAATAATAAGCCGGATCCAATTCGAAAATTAAGGAACAACGCAATCATCAACATTAACTGAAATAGATAATTAGATAATTTTAGCTTATACGTCCATTATACATAAAACGCGCACGCGAAAACGTATTCTGCACTTGCGCACACTCATATGTGCAGTCGTAAAAGGTCTTACGCGCACGCTTAAACGCCTATGCGCATGTGTGAACGCGGCGCATGCGCAGAAAGTTTTTAGTTTTGAGGTCCGGATTATAGATTATTCCGAATTATGGGTGTCCGAATTAACGACTTTTGACTGTAGAATGTTTGACCTGACAAATCTAGTAACAGAAGAGCAAGTGTTAAAAATAGCATTTTCTCTTTGTTACTAGTTGAGCTATACACATATTTCAGAGATAAAAGACAATATCTGCATCACAATTTTTTAATGGCAACAAAAAAAATTTATGTTCATATGGAAATTTTAGTATAGTTTACATAGGTAAAATTTCAGTACTATTTTGTTATCGGGACCAGATTCAGAAGTGTATGAATGTATGCATATGTGTATGTATATGCATGTATGTGTATACACACATGTGTATGTATGTGTATACACACATACACATTTGTACTTAGTACATGTATACATGCATACATGAACACATACATACATACATTTCTGAATTTGGTCCTGATAACAGAACAGTACCCTGCATCACATATCTCAAATGATGTTTCAAAATTAAACTGCCATATGAGGAGCAAATTTACCAAAAAATAATATACAAGAAATTATTGTCATATATTTAAATCATTCATTTGATTATGGAATAGCACACTAGGACAATCCATCAATATGGAAGAGTGTCTTTGCAGATTTTCTGTAAACAACTGACAGGTATCCATGTCACACTTCAGGAAAATCAGAGTAACATCATGGGATGACTTTATAAATTACTCTATCATAAAATATACCAGCACATTTTTGTTTATTTTTCAAAAAGACAGATTCCTTCACAATGATGCTATGGCATAAGGATGTATACATCTTTATGAAGATTGCTTTTTTAGAAGATAGAAATGAATCTTCACAAGGGTGTGGAGGCATAAAGGTGCACATACCTTCATGAAGATTGCTTTTTTATAACTTAAAAATTAATTTTCATAAGGATATGGGTAACTTAATGATGAGGAACTGTTATAAAAGTTCATTTTCCTACATATGGCCAAATTAACATAAACTTAGTATATTTATAAAGAACCCTTTCATGAAATGGTTGTAACTTCACACAGCTCAGTTTATCTCCAGGAATAAAACTGGAAATGAAATATATATAAGTATTTTTTTTTCGATGGCTGGCCCTCAGCCGATTTTGGCTTGGCCACTACTAAGGCCAGAAGAGGTGGTCAATTTATTATGTAGGAACCTAATAGGTGGGCCACCTTTCCCTCCTATGAAAGGACAGACAGTTACAATTATGCCTTCTCCAGAATTCAAACCCGGAACTTTTGATATTGCAGTCAGTTCCCCTAACCACTATACCATCTGGGTAGGTAATGCCTCCTCATTCTTATGCAATATGTGCAGGAAACCATGAATTAGACAATGAACAATCTTGTGGTAACTAAGAGAGACTCCAAGTATAAATAACATAGATAGTCACCTAGGGAAATAATTTTTAGATGTTCCCAGATAAGTTGTCCTCAAAAGCAATACACTCAAAAGTCGTTAATTCAGACACCCATAATCCGGAATGATCTATAATCTGGACCCCAAAGTTAAAAACTTTCTGCGCATGCGCCGCATTGACACATGCGCATAGGCATTTACGCGTGCGCGTAGGACCTCTTACGACTGCGCATTTGCGTGTGCGCAAGCGCAGAATACGTTTTCACGTCCGCGTTTTATGTATAACGGACAGTATAATCTAAAATTATCTAATTATCTATTTCAGTTAATGTTGATGATTGCGTTGTTCCTTAATCTTCGAAATGGATCCGGCTTATTATTTTTTGCAGACTGTAAGAGCAATTTTATAAAAGTAAACTTGAACTTTCGATTATGTCAAATAGAATTTCCGAATCTGGAGCTCCCAAAGTATCGTACAAAACGAAAGTATGTTTCGATGTCCATCAAACAAAAGTGGAACTGCTGCAAGAAATGGATAAAGACATGAAGAATGTGACAGAGAGGTTAGTGAAAACGAAAAAATTTCGATTGACAAGTTAGTCGGTATTCTCGGCACAGCAATTAACGGGACTTGAACGGCGGAACTTTGTAACTGAACAAAAAATTATGTCTGTTTATAGAATTAAAGAGAAAGTATTACAGTCAAAAGTCGTTAATTCGGACACCCATAATCCGGAATGATCTATAATACGGACTTCAAAGCCAAAAACTTTCTGCGCATGTGCCGCGTTGACACATGCGCATAGGCGTTTACGCGTGCGCGTAAGACCATTTACCACTGCGCATATGCGTGTGCGCAAGCACAGAATACGTTTTCGCGTGCGCGTTTTATGTATAACGGACGGTATAATCTAAAATTAATTAATTATCTATTTCAAATTATAAAATTATCTATTTCAGTTAATGTTGATGATTGCGTTGTTCCTTAATCTTCGAATTGGATCCGGCTTATTATTTTTTGCAGACTGTAAAAGCAATTTTTATAAAAGTAAAATGAACTTTGATTATGTAAAATAGAATTTTTTCGATTCTGGAGCTCCCAAAGGATCGTACAAAACGAAGTATGTTTCGATGTCCATCAAACAAAAAGTGGAATTGCTGCAAAAAATGGATAAAAGCATGAAGAAAGTTACAGAGAGGTTAGTGAAAACGAAAAAATTTCGATTGACAAGTTAGTCGGTATTCTCGGCACAACAATTAACGGGACTTGAACAGCGGAACTTGTAACTGAAGAAGAATTGTGTCTGTTTATATAATTAAAGAGAAAGTATTATCACATAAAACGAAGCAACTTAAAACAACTTCATTTGAAGAAATGTTTTAATAAATAAACAAATAAATATTAAGCTTTTTTTTTTTTTTTTTTTTTTTTTTTTTGTAAATTTTGATACTTTTTTAGATTATAATTGTTCTTATTTCATAAATTAGGTTTCATATTTTAATTTTAGAATTTCTGCATCCACTTACGAGATTTGAAATGATGATCTATAATCCGGAATCGCTGAAGTCCCGACGAGTCGGATTAACGACTTTTGACGTATCACATAAAACGAAGCAAACTTAAACAACTTACATGAAAGAAATGTTTAATAAAGTAAACAAATAAATATTAAGTTTTTTTTTGTAAAATTTTTGATACCCTTTAGATCATAATTGTCCTTTATTTCATAAATTACGGTTTCATATTTTTAATTTTTGAATTTCTGCATGCCATCTTACGCGATTTAAACTGATGATCTATAATCCAGAAAAATCGATAATCCGGAATCGCCGAAGTCCCGACGAGTCCGGATTAACGACTTTTGACTGTAATTAAATAAAGATATATTTTACTTGGAGTTGTTAATACATTAAATTTACATGAGATGCCAATTATACTGATTATCTACAGCATTAAAAGTGTTGGAGAAGGAAACCACCTAAATGTGACCAGTAAATCACAAGATATGAACAGGTATTTAGGAAGAAAGAACTGCTTAATCACACAACCACCAAAGTGTGGCTCATTGATTTCCTAGACTTGCTGAAAGAGTTATCACTCTTTTGTGCCTTGAGTATTTTCTTTACCTTAGTAGATATTTTCTTGTTAATTCGGACACCCATAATCCGGACCTCAAAGCTAAAAACGTGCCTCGTTGGCACATGCGCACAGGCGTTTTACGCGTGCGCGTAAGACCTTGACTACTGCGTATATGCGTGTGCGCAAGTGCAGAGTACGTTTTCGCCTGCGCTTTTAATGTATAACGGACGGCGTAAGCTAAAATTATCTAATTATCTATTTCAGTTAATGTCAATGATTGCGTTGTTCCTTAATCTTCGAATTGGATCCCGCTTATTATTTTTTGCAGACTGTAAGAGCAATTTTATAAAAGTAAACTTGAACTTTCGATTATGTCAAATAGAATTTCCGATGCTGGAACTTCCAAAGGATCTACAAAACGAAAGTATGTTTCGATGTCCAACAAACAAAAAGTGGAATTGCTGCAAAAATGGATAAAGACATGAAGAATGTGACAGAGAGGTTAGTAAAAACGAAAAATTTTCGATTGACAAGTTAGTCGGTATTCTCGGCACAGCAATTAACGGGACTTGAACAGCGGGACTTTGTAACTGAACAAGAAATTATGTCTGTTTATAGAATTAAAGAGAAAGTATTATCACATAAAATGAAGCAACTTAAACAACTTACATTGAAAGAAATGCTTAATAAAGTAAGCAAATATATATTATGCTTTTTTTTTTTTTTTTTTTTGTAAATTTTGATACCCTTTAGATCATAATTGTTCTTTATTTGATACATTACGGTTTCATATTTTTAATTTTAGAATTTCTGCATGCCATCTTACGAGATTTAAAGTGATGATCTATAATCCGGAAAAATCGATAATCCGGAATCGCCGAAGTCCCGACGAGTCCGGATTAACGACTTTTGACTGTATTTTGTTTATGGCCCCCAGGGGTACATAAACCTGTGAAGTTACTATATAGGAGTTGTACTTCGCCAGTCTCTATCATAGGGACATAAAATCAGTCTTCACAGGACTAGAGCCCGATTATTCATAGGTTGGTTCTGGCTCGGTAGGGAGCATATGGTACTATCTTGTCTGTTCTTAGGTTGTGGTGGAGCTATAGTTTATGGTTTGATTTTTACAGCTGTCCACGGGGAAACACCTCATTTATGGAGTTGGTAAATCTGACAGGCCTTGAAGATTGCTTGCGGGAGGGGCAGCGGGTGCCTGGTGCATCGATACTGTATTGTTCATTCCCTTCCTTGATGCCCCCTGGGAGTATCTGGATGTTACATTGACTTAGTCTTGGCAGCCAGTTTGTCTGACCTGTGATCTTCTACGTATTTTGTTCTGTGTCTGGAGTTGAGGCCTCCGTTAATGGCAGATTCTTCTTCGTTTCCTCCATGGATCAGGATGTGGAATCCGAATTACTGAGCCTACCCATTGACTTGGCTTATCCAATAGGGGACCATTGGGTTGGCTCCGGCGAGGAGTATTAAATAGCAAATGGTATGTAAGGGAATGACCCGAGTATGATCTCCTCTGTGGGTTGACTGACTGACTGATTGTGTTTTGTTTAGTATTAGGACTTCTATTATTCTTGTAATTCTGCATCACAATCTTATTGCTACTAACATCCAACACTGCAGTCCAACCACGAATGAATTTCATAACACAAAACAAAGGAACTAATGTAAAGCAATCATTTGACTTACGGAAACACTTATTAATTTTCTGATAAATTACTTAGAAGGAGAAGGGATCTCTTTCAAATAGAATTTTCTTCAATCAGACATTTTAGTTGCTTAGGAAGAATAAATTCTTAGGTCTACCAGTGCAAAAGATCACCTCTAAGAGAGAGGGGAATTTGTAAGCTTGAGTAACTATTTGCGAGAGGGTCTGCTGCATACATAAATACAATAAAGTTTAATTCATTAATTATTCACAATAAGATAGCAATACATAACATAATTATAAAATGGTACTATGGTATATATGGTTATAATTCTACTCACATCCGTGTATAGCCCATTCTGGTTGACATATTTTATTGAAACTTGGCATGCTGTATGCAATGATAGTAAAACTCTGATCGATCACATCATTAAAAACATATGTATTCAACTTATATATGCAAATTTTTCATGTTGTAATAATATGAGATATATTTTATCTAATTATGTTGGTTTCGGTCTCATTTATTTGAATACAGCAAAGCACTCACAGGCTATCTGCTTAAGGGGAGGGATGCCTCCCTGAAGAACTTTCTACGAGAACCTGGCTCGGATACATGTTACACATGGGGAAAACCATGGAAATAGACATGCAGCCAGCCCATTTGTCGGTATTCAAACTAAAACAAACTACCAGAGTTCAGCAACTTTACCACTCATCCGCTGGTGGGCACATTTAATTCAGTTAATCACAATGAATATTTATGTTGTTGCAGTGCATGAGTATTCAGTTAAAGAAGAAGAAATAAATCAAGATGTAAAATTTGGACACAAAAATTAACACAAGCCAGAAATTATGTTAATGTTATGCAAGATACTTTGCCCAAATATATGTTATTGAAAATCATGAACAGTCTTAATCTGACGTCCAATGCATAAGGAAAATAGTATTCTACATCCTTTTTTTTTTTTCTTTCTCATTCTTAAACAACACATGAAAGAAAGTCTGGGACTTTTGAATCTAATCCAGGAGTTCTCAGTCAGTCTCAGTTAAATTCAAAAATTGACGTTAATAATAACAAAATGTCCATTATGAATAAGCTATAGAATCTACGATTTTCTGCACATTTTTAATAATTTTCTAAATGATTCTTAAAAGCATGCAAACAATTCTAAATGAATCTTTAATACACACATATAATTATGCTGCAAATATACTATATCATGGGATTTAAAAACCTTTGATTTTGAATCAAATACAGACCATATATTATCCATACCTGAACCAAATCTGTTTTTATGCAATTCTCCTCGAATATTTCTACAGCGAACAGGGAGGACGGGATCATAAACGGATGGATCCCAATTGAAATTCTTTTCTGGTACAGACAAACTACGATTAAGAGGGTTAAAAGTTATAGTCTGCTGAGCACTCTTCAGAACATCTAAAGAGGACGGATCATGGATGATTATGCGAGTTGCTTTTAAGGTTTCTTGATCATTGAATAAATTTGCTGAGGTAGTGGTCACTAACACATTCGGTGGCATTCCGCTAACTGTCACTATTTGCTGTCGGTCGGCTTCGTCGGAAATCCCGGATATGGCGTTCTCGACATCGTCCGAACGCTCATTCGGGAGCTCTTCGTCGGTCAACCCGATCTCCATCGAATCCACCATTACCTAATCTGCCTCAGTTATATTCTCCATGTTGATTCATTAACAACATAAATGGGAGAACAGAGAGGACAAATATAAGTAAACGGAAACCAATTCAGCAACAAATTGTACCAATTTTCACGTAACACAACGATCAATATGGCGCCTGATTGTGAAATTCAGTGTACATCCTACGACCTTCTACCGGAAGTAATCGTCTTTCTCACGTGGTAGGAAAGTCTGTTTTGATTTTGGCGCACGGAACCGCGGCGTTTGAAATCGCGTATAAAAGCGTGGTAACGAATAACATCTGTTAAATTGAATTATTTTTCTAGCTTCTACCACCCAAAAATTTTAATATACTAATTTATACTCAAATTGCTGGAAAATATTCTGTAATACGTTTTATATTCTATAATATATATAATATATTCTGTAATACATATAATATTCTGTAATAATGTTCATTTTTTCACTCCGTACTGTCAAATTTTGTCATGATATCAAGGGTTATGACACGGGTTAACACAGAATAATAATTAACACGGCGATAATTATTTACTAAATTATAAAAAAATAAAAAATCTTTAAATTTATTTGAATTATTTATTTAATAAATATTGCTTCAAAATGTATTATTTAATAAAAATCGCTTCTCTCATTGTTAAATTTGTGTTTTTTGGGGGGAATGATATTTCGTGTTAAAAATAATATTGCTTGGCCCTCTTTACTATTTAAACGGATTTTTTTCACGCCCTATTTTTTTTTACTTCTCAAAGGAGGTGAATTGTTTCTATTTTATGTATAAAATTCTGCCCTAGCAAATTGAAATTCATAGACATGGTTATGCTTCGAAAGCAGGTAGATGAAAACAACAGAAAACATAAAACCAGTGATGAGCTAAAGTTGGCTCTCACAAGTTCTTTGTTAACTTATTTAATTAAAATTTATCCATTTAAATAGAAATTTAAAAATAAAATAATCAAAAATTAAACTTATGTAAATCTAAAACATTTCAGTTTTTAATATTAGTTTAAAAATTACATTTTAATTTTGTTTTAGAAAACATTGGAAAATATTTTAATTTAAAATGTTTTCTTGGTCATCCACAATTATTTGTAGTTTTTGTTTTTGTAAAAAGTAATACATTTAATTTAATATCCTATTAAGATAAAAAGTACGAGCGATTTTTAAAATTTTTCATAGCTCACCACTAAACTTTTAATTAGACCATTAGACCTTTAATTTTTGTTCCGCACACCTACGCGTATAGATGATTCTAAGAATCTTAGCCATAAAATATTTAATTCACCTTTAAAATTTAATCATTCTGTTGCTGATTGACAAACTGACCAATTTAAAATTAATAAATGCGCGTGATAATGATTTAAATATTTATTTTATTTTTTAATAAAACGCCTAATTGTTATATATTAAAATACATTTAATTTATTATACATAATTTAAATTTAAGAAATAAAAATTTTTATGAAAATTTGCAGTTTTGTTACAATTAATAAAATAACTCTTAATATATCTTATGTTATGTAAATAGCATGGCTAATTTTTGAAATGAACTCTGAATGAAACTTTAATGATGAATTCTTTTTAGAGGTATTAGATTGTAAGCTAAAGTTTCGAGATTGCACTTCTTTATTACCTAGTGAAATATAACATACTTACGTATTATCTCGTCGACCAGCCAAATAGTGCGATTTAGCGTCAATTTAGACGACCGTGTCGTTTAGTATTACACAGTAATGACTGACGACTGGCCACCTTTGCCGAAATTCCTTCCAACGGTCAACGGGATATTACGTAAGAACCAAAAATAAACCTCGGCTATTATGATATGCAAGCTAAATGGAAGTAATATCTCGCCAAATAAGTTCCATGCATGCCAGTGGTGTCTTGTGGCGGTTAAGAAGAGGAGAATGACGTTAATTACGAAAGGAAAAGTAAAAGGGTGTGCTAGAAATCGTAAGGGAAGATATTTTTTTTAAGATAAAGTTGTTTTTAGGTCTCGTTGGATGGCAACATATAAAGAAAGAAATGAAAAAAAAAAAAAAAAAAAATCTTGCCTGACACCTTTTCTTCTTAATTTCACAGAGGTTTTAGCACCAGAGGTGCTTTCAATAAAAACCAGAATGGGGTAGAGAGGGATTCCCATCTTTTCTGTATTGTAAGTCAGTAGTTACCAAAATGAGTGCATAGATGTACGTAGTACCAAAATGGAGACAAAATATAAAGGCAGAGAAAAGTTTTGTTTGCTAAACAGTCTAATAATATTATTACTTTTTTGGATTATTAATAACATATATATAATTATAATTGAGAATTAAATTATAATTATTAGATGATTTTATTGATTATATCAACTTGTTTATTAAAATTTCATTATTACATTATCTTCGTCTAGGATTTTTTTTTTTTTTTGCCTGAGCAGTATGTACATGTTGGTCATGAGGCTGAAAAGTTGGGAAACATTGCTATAAACGAATAATCTAATCCAACTTCTGTTGAACAGAGCTAATTAACAGTGCGATGGTTCATGAAAAGTAGTTTAAATGACGAATTCTCCCGTTTAAGTTAGAATGATCCGTCTGAATGATCTTTAAACTCGAATCATGAAGAATAGGAATGGAATCTTTTAAAATGAAAATTAATAAACTAAGTAATTATCGTCATTGATCGGAAAGTGGTTGACTTTTCAAGGGGAACAAACAAACCCCCGTTCAATTAACAATAATTAAGAAATGCGAAGGTGTTTCGTTTTTTACTCAAGTAAGAAGTATGATGCCAAACTGGCAGTCTGAGTTAAAGCCAAACTTCTAAGTCGAGTTTTAATCTAGTTAGTGAGATTAAAGTGAGATGAATTAAAGTACTATAAAGAATTCATTTTGAATGGGGCAGTTTCGTTAAGTCAATGAATTTTTTAGAAATCTCGAGATATTATTTTCAAATTGAGTAGGAGTAAATAAATTTCTCTGCTGGATAAAAATAGTAGTAAAATTTTTTTATCATTTACTTGAGTAAAGTGTTCCCCTTTAATATTTCAAGTGTTGAAGGTAAGCATGTAAATACAGTTATATATTTTTTATAAAAACTGTTGTTTGGTGCTGCCTGTAGTAGGCATGGCGTTAAATTTACAAATCTGTCATCTAGTAGAATGACATTTAATAAATTCAGCTTGAGAGATACGAGCAATAGTTAAAAGTAAGGAGGCTGCTAACCTTCAATACAGTAAAGTTTTTTGTATAAAAACTTTTTTAAAACTTAAAAAAAGAATGGAAGATAATATATTGGTGGAATTCATAAAATTAGATAAATAGCGCTAATAGCTGCTATTTAATTGATATCAAAGATTGAATTAATTAATCGAAATTAATTGATATCGAAATAAATTTCCTAATACTTGAGCAAAAGCTGCGAAGTAAGATAATAATAATTTATTTACTAAAGTAATATTGATTATATTATCTCCTAATATATAGTGGAATGTATCTGAAGGAAGTAACTCAGAAGCATTGAAATTTAATCCCGAAAATAATATTTTTAAAGGAACATTACTGTACTGAAGGTTAGCAGCCTGCTTACTTTTAATTATTGCTCGTATTTATTAAATGAATTTATTAAATGTCATTCCCCTAGATGACAGACATGTAAATTTAATGCCATGTCTACTATAGGCAACACCAAACAACAGTTTATAAGTGTATTTACATGCTTACCTGCAGCACCTAAAATATTAGTGCGGACACTTTACACTAGTGTAAATGATAAAAAATTTTACTACTACTTTATCCAGCAGTAAAAATTTATTTACTCCTACTCAATTTGACAATAATATCTCGAGATTTCTAAAAATTTCATTTAACTTAACGAAAGTGCTGGATTCTTTATAGCACTTTACTTCTTACTTGAATAAAAGACGAAACACCTTCCCATTTCTTAATTATTGTTAATTGAACAGGTGTTGGTTTGTTCCCCTTGAAAAGTCAACCAATTTCCGATCAATGACGATAATTACTTGGTTTATTAATTCTCATTTAAAACGCTTCCATTTCTATATTTATATGATTTAAAATCAAGTTCCTTTAAAAATATTATTTTCGGGATTAAATTCCAGTGCTTTTGGGTTACTTCATTCAGATATATTCTACTAACTTTATATTAGGAGATAATATAATCAATATTACTTTAGTATATATATGTGTGTGTGTGTGTGTGTGATGTATCAGCTTCTGTCCAGAATAAATAGATCGTTGAAGAAATATAGATGTAGTCGTAGCTTAAATTATCAGACGATAAGTTTAAAAAACAGGATCCATTTATTATTATTCAGGAGAAATAGCAGTTACAAAATGAGATATCCGGAGTAAATAAAAAGAATTACTAATAACTTTTTGTATGAAGTTTACTGCATCGTTGCATTAAAGAAAAGCCCCCGATATTCTTTTGCGAGTCTTTTATAGCCTCTGGAAAGGCGGAGTTTCCAAGAAATGACGTCAGCCTCGTCAGCCAATCCAGTTCGCTTTAAATATTTCCAGAATATTCTATAACTGCACGTGTAGAAAAGGCGGGAAAAACAACTTGACTACGGGGCTGCGGATTTAATTCCACGTACTTTCAAATAAGAGAACGTCGCCATTAAAAATGAAAAGAACATACAGTTAGAATTTTAAGTGTATTCTTGACTATGGAAATTTATTATTACAAATATATATATGAGAGAAACAAATAAAAACTATTAACCACCCTTTGCTTAATGCTTCAAATAGAACTTTCAAGGTGTTAGTATTCAAAACATTAAACCAGGATGATTTTATGAGTGGCTGAACACACGTTCCGTTCTTCCTACCATTATAAGACTCAATTCGCCGCTATCCAAATCTCAAAAATACTAAATAGTATTTTTAATAAGCTTATAATGACAAAGATCACTCTGATGTGTCTTTGGCATCCTACTAGTTATAAGAAAAAATAGAAGTCATTTCATAAATAAACTAAACTGAAATGCATTATACAAAAGCAAATTTCATCGAAAGATGTAAACCTAGAAAAACTGTACACAAAATATTCGGAAACATTATTTTATTTACTAAATTATGAAAACGTACGAATTAGTCTAAAAAAAAACAAATTAAAAAAAAATACTAAAAATGAAGCTTAATTATAAAGACTAC